TTGCCAGTTTTGACTTTTGCCGGGTTTAGTTTCGACTTTTGCCATTTGCCAAAAATAGTTTTGCCTAACAACAGTACCCCGGGCACACATGTTAGGAAAATATGGTATATAATATTGAACATCGTTATCAGTATAGAATTTAAGTTGAAAAGAACGAACACAAGGCCTTTAGATATCAGCTGATATGAGATCTGTTGATGGAACACATAATGTTAAACATCATTATCATTATGAAATTAGAGTTGAAAAGGGTGAATACAAGGCTTTCGGATATCATCAAAACCCAGCCGATATTAGATCTGTTGATGGAACATATAATATTGGACATCGTTATCAATATGATTGGAGTTGAAAAGAACGAATGCAAGGTCTTCAAATAATCAAAAACAAGCTGATTTGATTGAACATATGATGTTAGACATCATTTTTTTTAAAATGAGTTTGTGTTCATAAATTAATATCAGGAATCAGAAACTGAATCATTGGCAAAGAAATTGATTGACGATAAAGAAATTTCAAAAATAGAATGGTTTATATTCCAGTTTTGCATTCAAACTATATGATGAAAAGTTATTAAAATAAACAAACTCATGAAAACTCGAACATACCATATACAAAATTATAAAAGCGAAATTAAAAGGTAACAAATTGCGTCAAATAAATAAGATAAATATTTATAAAATTTTTTATTTAACAAGACGTAAATCCAATAATGCAAATATATGCAAAAAAAAGATTTTTACTGATAATAATAAAAATAATTTATTGTTAGATATTAAATTAAAAGAAGTTGTTTTTGTTAGAATATCAAATTAAAGTTTGAATTTTTTATTTAATAATAAACATTCTTAGTTGTTTTGGTTTAATTTCAATAAAACAATATGCTTGAATTTGAATTAACGTTTGTGTTTTATTATACTGTATGTTTTTTTAAAAAAAAATGTCGATATTAATATGGGAGTAATGTCAAGAGAAAATCAAAAATCGAACTCGTGAATTTATAGTTTAATAACTCAATTATACATATTTTAAAGGTTGAATCCGGTGTCTAAGAGCAAAGCTTTGGTTGTTTTTGGCATCGCTCATGTATTAAAACAAAACTTCGAATGTACAGTAATATAATATAAAAAAAATTTCGTATATGCTAGTACTAAATTTTTTTTTTTAACGTACGTACGTACGTACGTATGTACGTCTATACTAAATATTTCTATTAAAACATAATATTATCTATGTGTTTTCAGACTTTGAGTGAAGAGACTCAATAATGATCTGGTTAAACATTTTAAAACTATTTTTGAATTCTATTAATTTGTAAAATTTAAAAATAGTTGATTATTAAAAGTAAACAGAGAGTTAGTAAGATTTCTTCATTCAAAATTTATAAAAGTATGGTAAAAAAAATTAACCCTTTTTTTGTTTTTTTAGCCAACTTAAAAGTCTAATAAAACAATAGATATTATACTAGAAAATTAATATTTAACAGAAAACATAATATAAAAAATAAGGAATTTAAAAAAATTTTGTGGATTTTTGCGTTGTGGATAATAATTTAACAACTACAGTAATTTAAAAAACGCAGTAAACTCTTTAAATTCAAAATGAAATGTGTTAGATAATATTCTATTATCAAAATATCCAAAGTATGCTAGATTTTATGCTACGTATCAAATATAAATTATGTTAAATGGCCTCACCTTTAAGATTTAAATAAATAAATAAATAAAGTATGTTAAATCCTGCTGCTAACATAATTATGCTACGTAGTAAACTAGTAGCACTAGGAACCGGAAACCGGTATAAGTCCGGAGCCCATAATAATAACAGCATTCAATTAATGGCCCTAACCCCTGAAAAATCTGGTCATGTATATCGCAGATCAAAATTTTCAGGGGCGTTACAAACGGAAAATGCCGAAACTACGTTTTTGATATTATTATTATAGATGCATCAAAATCGTAATTTCAGTCATCAAAGCGCATAAACATGTAAGTCCTCCGCTTCGCTCCGGACAATAATCCTGGACACCCTAGTCTATACATATTTGTACTACTGTACTAACTAAATTTCGTTGATCAGTACGTACATAGGGTTGATTTGATGCAATGCAGTACGTACGTACATACATTGCTTTATGTTTTAAATCCTACGTATTCCTTCAGGATTCATAAAGAAAATGAGCAATCCAGTATATGAAAACATCCCAATCATCGACCTTTCACTATTTGAAACTGACAGACAAACTTGCGTTCAACAAATTAAGGACGCCTGTGAAAATTTAGGTTTCTTTTACTTAAAAAATCATGGAATAAGTCAAGAAAAAATTTCCGAAATATTCAATATTGTTTCGTATTACAAGTTATTGAATTTTAAAAAAAATTTATACAAACACTAACAATTTTACTCTAATGTAGTCAAAATCTTATTTTGAACAATATTCTCATGAAGAAAAGATGAAGTATGCTTTGAATGAACATTATCATGGATATGCTGAGATGTGTAAAGAAAATCTTGATATCACAAGAAAAAATGGCGATGTCAAAGAATCTTTTTCTTTCGGAGAATTTAATGATGAAAATGAAGCAAAGACGCAAATCTTACCTCCGTTCTTTAAGGAAAGGGCAGAATTTATTGCATCATTTTTAAAGGTAAGAAAAAAGACAGTTAATTTTTCTCATGCTCTTTCTGGACTGTTGGACTTTTGCCTAATTTTTTTTTTTTTATAACGATAGGAATGTCATAGCTTATGTTTGAAAATTTTTCAAATATTCGCAATGGCATTAGAGATTCAACAATCTGAAGGTGGAATGCACTGGTTTGAAGAAAGACATTATTCGAATACTGCTAGCTGCATGCGCTTTAATCATTATCCTCCGATGGATAAGTTTGATCCTGAAGAAATACGTGCTGGAAGGTATTAAATTCGAAAAACCCGTAATAAAATATTAATAAGAAATATTAATAAATATTAACATGTTTTTATATTTTATTAATTAGTCATACAGATTATGGTTCAGTGACAATCCTCTTTCAAAAAGATATTAGCGGTCTAGAAATTCAACCACCCAATACTGATAAATGGTTCCCCGTTCCAGTCATTCCAAATCATGTATTAATCAATATTGGCGATTGTTTAAGTTTTTGGACAAAAGGTCTATTTAAATCTATTATGCATCGAGTTTCATTTGACAGTGAAAATTTTAGTTTAGATAGGCATAGCATTGCGTATTTCTGTATTGCTGGATCTGATATTAAATTAGATCCAATTCCTTCAAAATTTATACCTACAAATGAAAAAAATAAGGATGAAAAAATTTTAACTGCCGGCGAGCATTTGATGCGTAGAGCTAGTGCCGCATATGGCAACTATTAAGAGGGTATTTCCTCGAGCATTAGTACTAAACGTATAATCTTATACACTTGAGTTTTTTTTTTTTACTTATGTATCTTAAGTATTATTAAAATTCCTTTGATTGCTCTGGGAATCTTTTACTCATTTGGTTGAATAAATTATGGGAGCTTCTGTTTCCTTCACGGAAAATTTGCTATTTCCATCGTTTTTTTCATATGACTTTTAGTACATAAACATGGCAAACATGTTACGATAAATTACGGCAAATGGTGGAAAAATTATTGTCGGGGATGATGCTAAAATTTTGACTTATTTTATTATGAAAATTTGAATTTTTTGGGGGGTGTTTTGTTCAGCCTTTTTTTTTATAGTGTGATTAAAATTTAGGGTTTATGTTAATAATAAAAGAGTATAGGCGGATTTTATTAGGGTTTATATTTTCAAATTAAGACTCCAAATTTCAGCATCATCCGATTTCAGCATGCCCGAAATTATTAAATTTTTCGTGGTGGAATTAGGCTCAGAGTCTAAAATTGGGTTGCGGAGCTTGTGAACAAATGATTTATAAGTAGGCGTTCCCTAAAATTTTGTCTTGCTAATGTTTAATATTACATGTTTTATTTATCATTTTGAATAATTGTAAACAATATATCCCAAAATTTTATTCAATAATGTCTGGTCTATATAGGTTTTGCACCGTTGAAAATCGAAATGTAGTTTCGATTTTATCAAAAAATTTTGAGAAGTGAATTGAAACAGGGGAAAGGTTAGTAAAACTAAAAGAAAGTAAAAAACTTGTAAATTACAAGGAAGCCAGCAAAATGTGATGAGACTAATACACTAGTGAAAATGATGTTAAAAATGCTAAACGAAAGGTGGTGTTACATATGAACTACCTCTATAAGTACGGGTAGCAAAAGACAATAATAATAATTATAAATCTGACTTGATCAAAAAAAAGCATTCGAATCTTCATTTGTTTAATCTTTTAACATCCGAATATTTATTCAAAAATTTTGAATAAATATTTGAATATTTACTGAATATTCATTGAATATTAATAATTACAGTTTAAAAAAAAATCAATTAATTAATAAAATAGTATGTATTACAAAATTAATTGATTGTTAATTTTAACTATTGTGCTGGAAGTCTATACTAGTCAATAAAATATAGAAGCAATACTTTTAAAAGCTATTTAGCGAATTTATAATACTTATTATGCAGAATAAAATTATTGGTCAGATTTTTAAAATTTTGCTTTTATAAAAAGTTATAGCATTTTAAAATTTATTTAAAACTAAAACATATAGTAATTATACAGTCATACCTGAGTTATATCACCCCTTTTATCCAGAGCATTTTTGGGGATATAACTAAGATGGGGATATATCT